ACCATTGACACATCCATACACATAAGCAAGCAAGTTAGAGCCTATTCTCTTCTCTTCCACTTTAGATTTTAGTTTGTTGGGGGTAGAGCTGTCTTATTGACCTTTATATAGCCACTTCAACCATCAGAATGTATGCATGTATGTAATGTTGATTTTTAAAATGAAACTATATTTCAGGGTAAACACCCTGATTTATTATTATAGAATTTTTGAGCTTGGATATTCTAGCCAATTCTGAACAAAGATGTAATAAGGAGCTGGCATTGTGGTGTAGCAGGTTAAGCTATCATCTGTAACATCGGCATCCTGTATGGGTGTTTGGGTGCTGGTTCTAGTCCTGGCTGCTCTACTTCTAATCCAGCTCCCTGCTAATGGCCTGAGAAAAGCAGCAGAAGATGGCTCAAGTGTTGGACACCTGCCACCCACATGGGAGACCCAGTAGGAGCTCTTGGCTTAGCCTGGCCCAGCCCTGGCCATTTCTGGGAAGTGAACCAGTAGATAGAGATATCCATTCATTCATTGATTCTCTCTCTCTCTCTCTGTGTGTGTGTGTAACTAACTCAAATCTTGCAAAATATATGATGGGCTTAAATGGGTGAAGGTAATCAACTGTGTTATTTCTTGGCTAGATATTACTGTGTTTGGGGGCAAATGTTCATTCTGAGTCGTCCACAGTACATTTTCTACTCTAAGAACTTTGTCTAGCATCCTTGGTTAAACTTGGCACTGGCTGAGCAGTAGAGTCCAGTCAGAATGGAGATGTGGGCTCACTGAGGGGGTGAACCCTCGACCCCTGTGTGTCCGGTTAATGCTTTGCCATGGGGCTAGATGAGTATCATTGAATACTGTTGGTATCATTTTGTATTTCCCCTTCATATCTTTATGAATAAATGGTAACTAGAAATACAGTACCTTTGAAAGCTATTGTTCTGTTAATTCAATAAAATGATATCCACTTGTGCCTTTCTCTCTTAAGGGAAAGCATAAAGTTAATTGTTTAAACTGACATAATTCAGGGGTGAATTTTCCTCTCCTATTGTATGTGAAGCTCTTGAGTCTTGCAGAGTAACTTCTAGCGTCGCTTTTTCTGGATGTGTTCTCCTGATGATGGTTCTTGTATCTCTCACATGCATACCATAATGTACTGGGCATGCTCTGTAGTTTCTTGATACCAACACACACATCCGACTTCGCCTTTCTCATGTCTGAATGCATCTTAAAATTGATGAGGGCATTCAATCTGGCACTGTTTTCTCTCTGAAAAAGCTGTTTGATCAAACTGGTAGTGGCTTTTAGAATTGATGACATCTTAGAGGAAAGGTAATGTGCTTGAGTTAATCTATTTCTGTGTAACAACCTCAAAATGTACAATACTAATTATTCCCTCTGATAGTTTCTGCGGGTCAGGAATTCACCGAGGGCACAACAGGGAGGTCTCCCTGCTCTCTGATGTCTGAGGCTTCAGCCATAAGACTTTGAGCCTTAGAGAAAGAATTGTATGAAAGTTCATTGGTTGTCATGTCGGGTTTGCTGGGTCTTTGGTCCCTACTGGGTCATTCCATGAAGAGATAATGGAGTGGAAGACACTGTAGGGAAAAATCTTGATTATTTTTCTTATGAACAAAATACTTTGCAAGCTGATGAGGAATTTTGGAAGAGAGAACACACTAAGCATTTTCTGAGAGAGGCTGCATTTAGGTTTTTGATCTGAGGGAGTTTTGGAGACCAGAACTTGGGAGGCTCATCTGATTGGGCATTGGAAGCAGCAGCCTGTTATGACAATTAGGCATGTAGTCCACATCCCAGCCTGCTCTGTTAGTCAGTGTGCAGAATTCATTCCAGACTCCTTACTGATTCTTAACTCTCCGTGCCATCTTGAGGTTTGGCGTCCTTAGCAAACAAAAGAAACACAGCTGAAAGTGTAGCTGTTGTCTCCATGTGAATCCGGGACTTCAGTGTCAGCTGTTCCCAATACTCCTTATCCACCCATTCCAGAGAAAAGCTCTCCTTTTGCAATGCTGTGAGATCGCTCCCCAGGCTGACTCATAAACCACTTCCTCCAAGGAGGAAGGTCCCTCTTCCTCATCGGTAAGATAAATCATTAGATCTGAGGGAATCCAGCCTGATGTGGTTTTCTCAACCCCTTGAGGATTCAAAAAATTAGATGAGCTACTGTCTTAGTGATTAAGCAGAACGTAATTCTTTCGTAGAATGGTAAATTTTCTAAGAAAACTATTTTACTTAAATTTTTTAGCAATAAAAAAGGGCTATCATAAGATCTACAGGTGAGGTTTCTAAATAGGATGTTTAAAATAATATTTATCTGTATATGGTCATTTACACATTCAATTATTGTTTATAGCAATTGTCTATATTCCCACTAAACCAGGATCTTTTTGCTTTTTACTTGTTCAACTTTTTTTATTTTTTTAAAAAAAGGATTTGTTTGTTTATTTGGGAGGCAGAGTTACAGACAGAGGGAGAGACAGAGAGAAAGGTTCTCAATCTGCCAGCTCACTCCCCAGATAGCTACAAAGGGCGAAGCTGGATGGAACAGGAGCCAGGAGCTTTTTCCATGTCTCCCTTGTGGGTGCAGGGGCCCAAGCACTTGGGCCATCCCTAGCTGCTTTCCCAGGCAGGGAGCTGGATTAGAAGTGGAGCAGCCAGTACTTGAACCGGGACCTATATGGGATGCCAGCACCACAGGCAAAGGCATCAGGCCCTACTTAAACTTCTTATTCAGTGAAGTATTACGCCTTCTTATTGTAATGTAAATTTATAATGTTATCTCAAAAACTAAAAAAGAAAATAGAAGGCATAGGTAGAAGGAAAGAGGGAGGGAGGGAGAAGGGAATATCATGTTCTTAGACTTGTATCTACAAATTATACTGAATCTGTTAATATTTTCATTTTTATTTTAATTTTAGTTAACTTTTATTATAAAAACTTCAAATAAGCATTCTGCCACAGAAATAAGTTTAAAAGTCTTTTGGGTTAAGTCTCCAGCTATTGCCCTAGCACTGGTTTCAGAACGTTGAGTTGAAGGGACTTTTCATACAAAGAATGTTACCCTCATCTTGGACATTGCCTCTCACTGGCAGGCACTACAAGAGGTTCTAATGACTTTATGCTTAACAGTCTTTTGAAGGTGGTGCTATTATCTCTGTATTACAGATAAGGAAACTGAGACCCAGACTGCTTATGTTACTTTATCAAGGTCACAAACAGAACATGTAGCAAGCAGAGCTGTCTCACTTGGAAACCTTTGTGTAGCAGAACTTGTCCAGGATGGGGGTAGCTATAGATTTCACAGGCAACTACCAAATCCAAGGACCTAGTGCATACCAATAGACCCTTATCATGTGGAGCATCTTGGCTGAAGCTGGAGGGTTGGAAGAATTAAGGCAAGGTTCTTGATAGGCCTAACTCGTTGATTTTCCTTTTCTCGGCAACCCTTCTCATTTTACCCAGCTTAGGAAGGCATTCATATGACTTTTTTTTTTTTTTTTGGTCTTAGAAACTTGTAATGTCTACTCAGTAAACAGTTCCATAAGATTATTCAAGAATTTTTCGAAAAATGATTTTTTAGTTAAGACTTGTACTGACGTCAACCTGTACCCCAAATACAGGAGCAAGGTGTCTGTTGCCTCCAGCTAATACTGCACAGTCAGACCCAAAATCATTGTACTCCTTGAATACTTTGTTTGATGGTAGACAGCTGGATTGGCTGAATTTCTTGTGGATTTCTGTTTCAGTATTTCATTTATCAGGTAAAAAGGGGCTACTTTATTCTAAGGAGAATTTGTCAGAATTTTGACATGGCTCAAAGATTGTAGCTTAAACTGCTAGACAAAAATATCTTTCATTTTTGGTGTATATATGTCTTTGTGTTGAATCCAGGTTAGTTTTAGCTTGGGAGTGTTTATAATATTCCCTAGAGAAGTGAGCACTCTGGAGTTTTTCTAAATTGATGAGGAGGTTGCATCATGGATGACCAGGGTTGTGGTTTGTTAGGAGGCAGCATAGCCAGTGACAATAATGTGTGTGTGTGTATGGCAGAGGTAGGTAACAAGCATATTGGGAATGTAGAATTTGTACATATGCCTTATTTATTTTAAACAAATTTCTTTTTAAAAAAGATTTATTTGACAGGTGGTATGGGGAGAGGGAGGGAAAGGGAGGGAGGGAGAGAGAGAGAGAGAGAGAGAGAGAGAGAGAGATTTTCTGCCTGCTGGTTTACTCCCCAGATGACTGCAACAGCAGGGCTGGGCCAGGCTGAAGCTAGGAGCCAGGGGCTTCTTCAGGTCTCACACATGGATGCAGGCACATGGATGCAGGGACACAAGCACTTTGGCCATCTTTCTCAGGTGCGTTAGCAGGGAGATTGGATTGGAAGTAGAGTAGCCAGAACTCAAACCAGTGCTCATATGGGATGCTGGCATAGCAGGCAGTGGCTTAACCTGATGTGCCATAACACTGGCCCCACTTAAATGTATTGTTATTATAGAAATACTGTCTATTTATCATAGAAAATTTAGGACTAAGAAATGACATTTCAGAAGTAATCACTGTTAAGATTTTGCTTTAAATTATCCTGATCCATGTGTGCATGCATGTGTGCGAACATTCATACATGTTTGTTTTTGGAAAAGGGAACCTATACTATAAATGTTCTGTAAGTTGTATTTTTAGCTGTATCTGTTTGTTCACAATTTTGCTAGAACACTATCACTAATGTATGTAAACTTGTCATTGATGGCTATATCACATATTTTGGACCTTTGCTTTTATTTTTTCTTTTATATTCTAATCTTGCAATCACTGACTGATAGAGGCTTTCTCAATTTTAGCCCAGTGAGGCGGCCCCCTTCCCACTGTCCAGCCAGTCGACGGGTTACATGTTGCTGCTCCCCTGCCCTGAGACCACTCCCTAGCTGAAGAGTGCTGTGAAACGGGTGACTGCTGATGGCTCATCTTCATTTGCTGTTTTCTTCTTGCAGGAGACAGAGCACGTGGTGCCCAGCCAGTCAGAGTGTCAGGGCAGAGCCGGGACGCCAGCTCACGAGAGTCCACAAAACAATGCCTTCAGGTGCCAAGAAACAGTGCGACCGCAGCCAAGGTGGGCCTTCGCTGTCAGAAACTGTGCCTTGCCTGAGCATCCTCTCCCAGGGATGCCAACTTGTGTGCTTGCCACCCCCACACAAGCCAAGGCCTCCTGGGTTTTGTTGTTAGTCCTTAGAGCCAGAGAAGCTGTGATCAAAGGGTTTAGTAGGACAGTCGTGGGGTCAGAGAGAAATGCAAACAAACTACTTTGCCTATTTTCTATAGGAAGATAATCATACTTTAGACTCAGGGAGGAATATGGACAGATTCTGCCCTTGGAAAGAAATTCTATTTTCATTTATTCCTCCTTTATTCCATGCCACAGTGGATTAGGATTTTCCTCTGTGGTAATGATAAGTCAATGATGACCATGTAGGCATCATGCCAATTGTTCTTCACCTATGATCTCACTTAGCCTTTCCTAGTTGGCTCAGAAGCCTAGGTACTCATAGCCCCATTGTATAGAGGAGCCCGAGGCTCAGAGACATTAAGGTGCTTTCCTGATGATGGGTAAATAAAAAAGACTAGCCAGAATTTGAACCTACAAATGTGTGAATATGGCATGGCAAGTGCATCTTGTGTCCTTACTCAAGTGTCACCCAGTGACCTTAGCTCTGAGGCCGTCTGAGGACTGGCCTTCCTAGCTGATTACACCACGTGGAGGCTGTTGTGGATCCAAGGTAAGGATATGTATGGAAAGCTGCCTGCAGAAAGCTGGCATGGTGTTCCGACGGGAGCCTCCCATTGCAGCTGTCTATGGAAAGTCTCTTGCGGAAATAAACCGAAGAAAGAATTCCAATGCTGGCTGTGTCAGGTTGTGTCAGCTGTCTTTGTAGGATCCTGTGTGTGGTGTAATCATAGCCCTTACTCAGAAAGGGTATGCTGCACTTCCTGGCGTGACCTTTAGATCTTTTTTTCTGAGTCCAAATGAATCAAGTACAGAGAAGATTGGCTGTGCTGTGTGATTGTGCTTTAAGATATCCAACATACTGAACTTAAAATCGTAGAACCCCGAAGGATTAGAGAGGACTCCAGTGGTCAGATGATCCCCTAGCCAAGAAGATTCATGGATACCTTTTTAAAAAACACTTCTCACAAGTTACTACCTTTTATCTTTGTTTAATCTGACCTCAGGTGTAGTACCTGTTGGACTCAACCTTGTCATTTCTCCAGTCATCGGGATAGTGTCCCTTCTATTTGAAGCCTGATTGTAATGGTTAGAATGGATTTATACAGTGACCATGTCTCCCTCTCCCCCTCCCCCATCAGCCTCATGACTGCCTCCGTCAGCAAGATTAAGGTCAACTAATTCCCATGCACATTTTAAAAAAGTATAAAAACAAAACAAACAAAAACCAAAGTTAAAGCATTTGTGTTTGTGTGTGGAATCTATGACAGTCTTTCAGGGGTAGATACTCAGCAGAGACCAATAAGGACAAATGGTATTTGCAATTAACCTTCTCAAGTTTGGCAAACTTGCAACCATTTTATATTCCATCTATTGTGAGGATGCTAACTGGTGATTTTACTGTTGTCAGAAGGAAAGTTAGAAACTGAATAGGGCTCTGTGGTGGAAATCATTCATGTATGACTAGTTAAGAGAGAAGAGTATTGAATGAAATAGCTCTCTGGGTGTATGAGCAGCAGTTCTTAGAGTTGGGGTGGGAGAAATTACCCTTAGTGTAGATTCTCAGAGATCCATGGTACTTTGCTTCAGAAATAAAAAAGATGAACGCACACTCACACCAGAGAGAGAGAGAGAGCTGTTTTTGTGAAAATTTAGGCAGCTCTTAGACCTCCGTGCATGCCCGGAAAAAAAAAAAAACACAGATAGAGTGAGTGAGCAGCCTGCCTCTTTAAGTCAGAGTTGTGTTCTAGCCTCCAGTGGTAGGACAGCTTTTCCTGGTAAAAGCAGATCTGGTCTCTCTTTACCCCCTTAGCAAGCCTCCACAGGACCCCAGATATTTATCCTTCCCTGCTGCAGAACTCCAGACCCTACTTTGGTAACATTGAGCCTTCTAAGATAGCAGCATTCTAGAAGGTTCCATGCACCGGCATAAGTAATCACAGGATTTGGTGCTAAGTCACAGATCAGGAGCACTGTTAGGCCAGCTATCTCTGGTAATATTAAATTTAGTATTCAGATTGGGCTGGGAACCATTAAAATATACTGTTATTTATCACAGCCTTGGTGGCGCCACCCAGGGACATCCTAGTGGAACACAAAACTATCTCAAACTGTTACAAGGATTGTGAAATTGGATGAACTGGTGAAATAGGATCTGGGGCTAAAAACAGCTTTGAGTCAGGTAGTTCACATTCCTGATAGCCTTCCTCTTCTCTTTTAAGCCAGCAAGTGGCCAAGTTCAGGCATATCATGCCCAATAAGATCTTGATAGAGACATGATACTGTAATAGAACACGCCGTTCCTAGGTCTTGCTCCAAGTACAGGGAAGAAGCCAGGCTAAATCTCAGCAAGTGTGAAATGCCACCTTCTTGGGGGTGGGGAGAATTATTAACTTGATGAATAACACAAGTGATAGAGGAAAGATCTTCCTGTAGCCAGGAACCATCAGAGGGTCATAGTTCTCTTGTGTTCGACTAGAAGGAGTTGTTAGTCTTCAGCGAAGAAAATCCCTTGCAGAAGTGGGATTTTTGGAGCCAGTTGAAGTCATGGTGGATATTATGTTTCCATGCACACCAAGAAGTTTCATACTTACAGCTCTCAGAGTGTACTGTACTTTGGGCTCTTTCTAGCACAAGAGCTTTATTTGTTTCTGTGGATATGAGTGTGTTTTGCTTAAGTTTGAGTGCATCAATATTATGCTGGTTTTCTAATGGCACTTTCTCAAGTGACTATAAGCCTGTGGCTTAAAACAAATTGAATTTATTGTACTATACTTTTGTAGCTGTCCAACATGATTCTCAGTTGGCCAAAATAAAGGTGCTGGCAGCACCGTGTTTGGATTTAGAGGCTCTAGGGGAGAATCGGACCATTCCTTGCTTTTTCTTCAGTTTCCAGAGGCTGCCCACATTCCATAACTCATGGCTCCCTCTTCCATCTTTAAAGGCAACAACACTTCCTCTGACCATAGTCACATACCCCTCTGCCCACAGCAAGGAAAGATGTCCTGGTCTTGAGGATTCATTTGATTAGATTGGGCTCCCAGGATGATCTGGGTTCATCTCCCTGTGAAAGGTCATTAACCACATCTGTAAACTATTTTTTAAAATGTAAAGTAACATGGAGGGGGTACAGACCAGGAAAGAGGAAGTGGACAATTTTGGGGGCAGGAGGACCTTTCTGCCCACTTTCCATGAGGAGACTTCAGAACACTCATCAAGGGGAGGCATTGTGACACAGTGGGTTAAGCCTGTGCTTGTTATGCTACAATTTGTGTTGGAGAGCTGGTTCTAGTCCCGGCTACTATCTTTCCAGTCCAGCCTCCTGCTTGTAGGCCTGCCACTCCTGTGGGAGGACCCTGATGGAATACCTGGTTCCTGGCTTTGGCCTGACCCAGCTCTGGCTGTTGTGGGCCTTTGGGGAGTGAACCAGCAGATGAAAAATCTCCCTCTCTCCCACTTTGTCTACCTTAAAAATAAACAAATAAATCCTTTTCTTATAATTCATGGAAAACAAAATTAAAAACTTGAGTTCAAAAAATTTGAAATGTATGGGTAGTTTCTTCATAACATGCAAGTTTTAGGAAAGGTTTTTAACCTTTTTTGAGAGCCGGAGAGCAGGTGTGAGCACCAGAGCACTGAGATTCAGTGATGAGCTCCTGACATGCCCTAGACTGCCAGGGCTGGAGTGGGTCAAAGCTGGGAGCTTAGAATACAACCTGGCTCCCCCGCACGTGTGCCAGGAGCCCTATTACTTGAGCCTCCTTTCCTGCTTCCCAGGATCTCCATTTGCATGAAATAGGAGTCCTTAGCTGGAGCCAAGACTTGGTCCAAGCTACTCAGATAAGTGATGTGGGCTTCTTAACCATTAGGCTAAATGCCTACTCTTCAGTTTGCAGAATGCTTGTACTTGTTTATTTTTCTCCAGGGAAACATCTGTAAAGCATTTATCCTGTGTGCTCATCACCCTCCAAAGCGTTTCAAACGCCTGCACTAACCTCTTCGAACTCCGGGTTTGCTTGCTCTTCTGAATTTCCTCAACAGAGTCCATCATAGGTAGGATTTCCATCCCCGGCAAGCCATTCATTGCAGCCTCGCTGCCATTGGCTGCCCCCAGCCTCCACCTTGGCAGCACAGGGCTGCACGTCAGAGGTTTCGGACTAGGAGTCCTACAGGGAGCGCACCAGGAGACGTATTTGGCTTAGTTGGTGTTTTAAAATATTTTGAGTCAGTCTTTAAAAATCAAGATTTTAAAATTTTTACTGATTTCTGCCTTCTTCGGTAAAAAGCCCCCTTTTTATAGAGAAGTGATGAACTGGGGCTGAGGAGTAGCTCTCGCTGTTTTTCCCCACAGTTTCTGCTTGCTGCTGTCTATTCATTTATGCTCATTGCCAGGCACTCACAGGCATTTGACTTACAGTGCCGGCTCCAACCCTTTCTTCCTGGCAGCTGCTCATTCTGGGAACGCTGGCTGCCAGGAGTCCGAGTCCTAATATAGTGGTGGCTGATAGGTCTTGATGTACTGCTTTCTCTGATGACCTGTGGACACGATAACAGATAGCACATATACAGTGGAGGGTGTTACAATGTTCGGGCATGCTCTTCAATACCTGGTGTTTTGGAAAGCATTTAAAATTATAGAACTATACTTTGTAAGAGTTGGAAGAAGTCGTAGTATCCTTGAATATGAGTACAACACTCCCATTTTCTAGTTTGGCACCCAATGAGGCTGTGGTTTGCTTAGCTTCTCACTTCCCTTGGTAATAGAACCGAGAGGAGCACCATCAATCCATTTAGAGCAGCCACTTGATGAATATGCATCAGTCTGACTGATTTTTATAGCTCAAGCTAGCACCAATCCTATAAACCCTCAGAAATGTCAAAGGGGAATT